CATGAAAAATTTACCATTCACTTGAATGGTATAATGTGAATATCCACATTTTCACTATCTCCATAGATTTGTTTGACAAAATAGAGTAATATGAATGTTCACATCATATAGTTGACTGTTTGTGATGATGTTTTGTGAATGTTAATATCATGTGAATGTTCACACTCTGCTATTCCCATTATTGACAACTTATTCCATATTTACATTTATGTGAACTGTGAACAATGTGACCTTGGTGTTTGCTATTGTGTAACTCTCATTATGTCTTAATTTGAATAATCATATTCATACGAAGATTCACATTATGCTAATTGCCATGACAAGTAAAGTTTTGCATATTACATTCAAATTATTTCTTCTTGTTCCCAGCATGTCTTATGTGAATGTTCACACCAAGAAAATTTTACCATTCACTTGTGTTGCTTAAAAAATGTTTGACATGATTTTAGTCAAATATGATTATGTGAATGTTCGTGTCGATATTTTGTGTGAATATTTTCCTTGTGTCTAGGGGTGAGCATGGTCCGGGTTGGTTTGGTTTAGGGTAAAATTAGGACCAATCTGTTGTCTATGGTTCCAAAAAATTGGAATCAAACCAATCCATTTAAATCATGGAACCAATCCAAACTAATCAATTTAAACATGGTTCGGCTCGATTTGGAACCACAATTTCATATAATCTGTTCACAAAGAAAAATCACATAACATTTTTATTTTAATATTAATTTGCCCAAGACTTTTCTTAACAAAAACATACATATGGTTCCACCATTAACTTAAACAAACATAATATCTAGTAAATAAACATATTAGCAAGTGTAAAACTCTCATCAAACAAACATTTTGTTTGTGACAACAATAATTACAAAACTATAATTAAAAAAAATAACAAAAATAGCAACAATAACAACACTGTTTCACAGGGTGTATGGTATGTATATGATTTAAATAACATACGGTCCAAATCGGTTCTAATTCGGAACTTTGAACTTCATTTCGGAACTGATCCGTGAAGAACAGTTCCTCAATTTTTCAAACCAGAACAGAACTACGGATTCAAAAAACCAAAATAAACCTACCAGATTGGATTGGACCGGTTCGATTTACAAGTTTTTCGGTTCTTTTGCTCAGCCCCTACTTGTGTCAATGTCCTATACTTTGGAATCATATGGCAATGGTGCGATCATAGCCTATGTGAATGTTCACATTTTGGCTATCCTCAAAGCTTAGTTTGAATATTTGTAGTCGTGTGAATATTCTTACCATTTTTTTATGTTCCAACTATTCTTCCCCACATTCCCTTCTCTTTAAATTCACAACACGATACTTCACATTTTTCTCACATTTCCTCCTCTCTTGCTCTCTCTCTCATATGATAATGGTGTGATTATGGCCTATGTGAATATTCACATTTTGACTATCCCCATAGCTTTGCTTGAATATTTGCAGTCATGTGAATGTTGAACCATTTTTTTACGTTACAACTATTTTTACCCACCTTGCATTCCTCTTTTTAAATTCAAAACACCACATTTCACATATTTTAGATTCTCTCTCTCTCTCTCTCTCTCTCTCTCTCGTATGACAATGGTGTGATCATGGCCTATGTGAATGTTCACATTTCAACTACCCTATAGCTTTGTTTGAATATTTGCAATTATGTGAATGTTGACACCATTTTCTTATTTTCCAACTATTCTTCCCAACATTCCCCTTCTCTCTTTAAATTCACAACACCACACTTTACATTTTTCCTCTCTCTCTCTCTCTCTTCCTCTCCCTCTCTCTCTCTCTCTCTCTATATATATATATATATATCTAACAAAGTTGGACAACAGACCACTCTTAACTCAACCCAACAACTATAAATGTCAAATCGAGATTTGAATTGTGAATCGAAATGGCCTCCTACTGAATCGTGAATCGAATCGAATCGAATTATGAAGCATAAAGATTCGGTCACTTTTTCTAAATTACTTAGAAAAATATATCTACACCCTTGGATGTTAACTACATCTTGTAAATATGAAATATTTAAACTTATCGATGAAAATGTTATTTTGAATGATGATTACGTAATTCTAGGGCTGGGCATAGGGTTATCCGACCCATGAAAACCACCAAACCCGAACTGCCCGCATCTATTTGGGTGATTTTGCATCATCATTAGGGTCGGATGCGGGTTAGAATTTTCCTATCGTGTGAGTTGCGGGCAAGTTATGGTTTTTACCTGCACCCGCACTCATCCACCCGCATCTGTGTATATATATATTTTTAAATCTAGACAATCAGATTTTCTTGTTAGTTTTATAAGTGTGTAACCATTATATTCTCTTCTCTCACTCACTTGCAAGTAAACAAATGTTTTGTAACTTGTTTTGCATTGCAAATGTAGAAACCCAACAAAAATTGGTAACTTATAATAAAATGAGTAAAAGGGCTTATTCATGGTTATGCTTCTTGTTTTTCATTAGTTGGTGAGTTCAGCAAATCCTAGAATCAATTTTTCAAAAGTGATGTTTGTTCCATTTTTATTAAAATAACTATGAGTTTTGTTTAGCGTATACATTTTCTGTAAAGTGAATGTGAGTCAATTGATTGATTCTGGCATGTGTTTATGGTCTGTTTCCTTTTGGAAGTAAATTAGATAGATATGCTGTAATTTATTTGGCATAAATCATTTGGAAAATAATGATTTCATGATAAGAAATATGTGATTTTATAACCCAAAATAATATTAAAAAATGAGTCCAAAAAGAATATTTAAAAATTAAGTTTTAAACGAAAAGCCCAATTTGCAAACTGCCCGTACATTCACGAACCTTATCCGCACAAATCGCAATCCATACTACGGACGGTTGCTGGTTCAATTTCTCCCAAACTGCAGACATGTGGGCTGGTTCAAACTGCGAACTGAACTGTCAAAAACCGATCTGTGAGCACCCCTATGTAATTTAATAACTAAGAAGTTACAAAAGCTCCTATATAAGATCACGATCTTATCTTTTCTCTTTTTTAGATATTTCTTATCAACCATTCTTAATAAAGATAGTACATAAAGACAAACTTTCAATTTTCAAAGTAACAATAAGTAACAACAATATTGATATTTAGACAATAAGCATACATACTTTTTCAAGTAATAATGACCAAATAAAAAAATTATATAAGATCTTTTATTTTAAAACTTAAAACATTTTCAAAGGTATAATTGACATCACCCATGTAATATTCAACTATATTTAATTTATAAAATAGCAATAGATAATTATGATGTAAGGTACTTTAATCTTAAAGAAGATTTTTTAAGGAAAAAAAAAATGAGAAGAAAGATTAAAAACATATTAGATCTGATTGGATCATATTAAAAAATGCATAATTACTAAACTAACAACAAGTCATTATGTAATTAGTTATTTTGGTATTAAATGCTATTAGAAGTTGTATTATGTCATTTTTCACTAAAAAATAGAGAAAAAGTAATCGAAAATATGTTGGACATGATATTTTCAAGAATTATATGAATCGTAAAAAATGAATCGAATTGTAAATCGATTGTGCATCGTTCGATTCACTATAGATTCACTTTCAAAATAGATTTATCTATAGATTCTTATCTATTTTGCAAAAATTACGAATCAAACAGTGAATCGAATTGCGAATCATAAGATTCTAATAACAGAGCGATCAACAAATCCATGTCCCGCACACCATTCTTATCCATTTCGGTCCTTAACTCCGGCAAACCCAAAAATGGACTCCAGCCGTTCTCTCACCACCATCCCAAAAAGAGCTTGAATATTCAACTTTGTATACTCAACTGTCAGACCACCCTTCCTTTGCCGCCTCTCTGCTGAATCACCGCCAACAACACTGAAGGTTCCCTCATGAAAAAAGTGCTTCTGTCATATCTCGGGACGGAATAGTGATCCTTGTATGCACCATTGTGGGTAGGGGTGTTCGCGGATCGGTTTTGTGCGGTTTGCGGTTCGGTTTTGACCCGCCCGCATCTATGTGGTTTGGAAAAAAGCCAACCCGCAACCGCCTGTAGTGCGGTTTGTGGTTTGTGTAGATAGGGTTTGCGGTTGCGGGCGGTTTGCGGTTTACACTTTTTTCTTTAAAAATTAATTTTTGAGTTTTTTTTTTTTCCCATCGAATTTAAGCATCAGATTCATTTTATATATTTGTGATCATTTGACAACAAATTTTTGATGAGTTTACAAATAAAAATTGAATATCAATACATTAAATGAAAGTACCCAAAACAAAGAGACCCTACACTAACATTTTTTCCATGAAAAAAATGTATATCAATGCATTAAAGGTTGTACTCAATTAGAATTACCAGTTCAGTAATCAATAATCAAACTAGAAATTTCGTCGACCACTAGAAGGAAAATTTTATTAGGAAAAAGTAGATGAATCACCAATGAAAATCATATAAGAACCAAGTTTAGGACTTGATAATTTTACAGCATTAAGAAAGTTGAAAAATACTTAAAAATAAGGATTCTACTGTCATAGAGAACATAATGGTGCTCCTGTTAAAGTTACAAAGTTGATATATAAAAAATAATAATAATAATTATTATTATTATTATTAAAGTACGGGCGGTTTTGCGGGTTGCGGTTTAACCCGCGACCCGCCTACAACTCGCAAATTTGTCATATTTCAAACCGCATCCGCCCGTATTATGTTTGTGAAACCGCTCATTTATATGCGGGTTGGGCGGGTTGAACGGTTTGGATAAACCGTTGCTCACCCCTAATTGTGAGGATCGTGTTCTCCTTGGTCCACTAACAATACATATTATGAATTTTTATAATAAAATATTTATAAGGGTAAAATAGCTTGTAAAATACCTCCAATATGATATGGTGGAATATAAAAATATGTTAGGAACTGGATTGTGATACAAGTCTGTGAAAGGATCCATTTTTTAAATATAATTTTTCATTTCTAAAATAAAAATGAAAGTAGTGGGTGGGGAACAAACCGATCGGTCTGAAAACGTGCGAGAATTGGTGGGTTCAAGAACTAAAGCGGCCCGGTTAATTTGGTTCTTAACCTATTGATATCGGATTGTCGTCCAAGCCACCACACTTGAAGTAGGTACAGAAAGGAACGGAAGAGCCCTCCATTTTTGCAGAGTTGAGAGTCCTCTGTTTCAATTTGTTACCCTAAAAACTCATCCGAAGCATTAATAGTCTCCTCCAATGTCGGTATGTCACTTCTTCATCTCTCTCTCTCTCTCTCTATATATATATATATATACGTATGCATCTGCATTAATAATTGTTGGAAACCCTAGTTTGTTGAGATTATAATTGCGTGGTTTGATTGACAGATCTTCGAGTACAATGGAAGTGCCCTAGTAGCGATGGTCGGCAAGAATTGCTTCGCCATTGCCAGCGATCGCCGACTGGGCGTTCAGCTTCAGACCATCGCTACTGATTTCCAGAGAATCTACAAGATTCACGATAAGCTTTTCATTGGTCTAGCTGGACTCGCCACTGACTCTCAAACTATGTAAGTGAATCCTGTATTTTTATTTTTATTTTGGGGGTCAATATATTTGGTTGTCATTATGGTTTCGTTTTTACTTTTGAAGGTATCAACGTCTTGTGTTTCGTCACAAGCTATATCAGCTCCGAGAAGAGAGGGATATGAAGCCCCAAACCTTCGCTAGCCTTGTTTCTGCCCTTCTTTACGAGAAAAGGTTGGTAAATACTATATGCATATGTATGTATGTGTATGTGTATATTGCTTCTTTATGTCCATATAACTGAATTAGCGAGTTCTAACTTGTAATTGAGTTCTAGGTGGGATTTCTTGTACTCTAGCATTGTTTCAGTAATCTGTTTGAAACTTTGGGGTTTGCTGTAAATAACTTGGTTGGTTATGGTTTGTAGTCTAAACCCATTTGACTTTGGTTTTTTAACTTGTAGTTAGCATATGAAGTCACCATTTCTGGCAAATTTTTTTGTACCGCACATGTTAAATTGCATTCCCTCTGATGGCTTGATTTGAATTTTCAGGGAAATGAACTAACTTCATTTTATTTACAATAGATAGTTTGTCATTAATTGTAGACTGGTTTAGTTAAAGAAAACAATGATCATGGGTTTTTGTGTAACATGGGAAGGTAATTTTACTGTATGCGGTATTTTATCTCTTACTCATACGTAACTGGTTAAGAATAAGATGCTGTATCGGTCTATTGGACAAAAGAGTATCCGATGGAGTTGGTTATAGCATTAAACTTACTTTAAGTGTGCTAGAAAATTGTGGGCTAGTGACTTCAATAAATATTAGGCTACATTTATGTGGACAAGGGTATGAGTGTTGGGTGTGGTTTGTTGGTATGTCTCTAGTGTTGGATTCATCAAATTTTGAAGTCCTAGGACAAAGGATAGTGTAAATATTCTCATTTTGTTTTCTAGGCTAACTAAAGTGGTGTTTTCATTTAACATAAGGTGTTAAGAATGGTATTGAACTAATTTTCAAACAAACATGTATCAAAAGTAACATAAGAAGGGGGTTTTAGGTACAATTGTATGGTAAAGTTGTACTAGACATGCTTGCTAGGTGAGTATGTAACTATACATATTGGACCCATATCGCCCATTCTAACTAGCTGCATATGTGTCTGACACACGTATTTACAGATTTAAAAAATCAATATGATTTTGATCAGTGTTATTAGAGGCAATAGGCGTACCAAGGCGCCAAGGTCTCCTGAGGCATAGGCGAGGCGCAGTCTTCACCGAAGTGAGACACACCTTGTACGGAAAAAAATATATAATTTAATATAAGTAAATAATTTAGGGTTCAATATAAACAAAATGACATGTTAAGCATTTAGTGTTTTTTGGAGATTAGGAATTAGGGCTAATTTTTATTCTATCATTGATTTGGGATTGAATGCCTAATGTATCAGCATCTGTAATAAGAGTAGGGTAATAAGAGTAGGGATCTTCTGTAGTTGCACCATATTAAATCAATGGTTAGATTTTAAACAAAACCAATTAAAGCAACAATAAAAAAAGCCCTCAAGACGCAAGCCTTGGGCCAATCAGGTGCTTTATCACAGTCGTCTAGCCTGGAACACTACAAGGCACAAACCTTAGGATTGGACGAGACTTGGGCCTAGGCGCATGCCTAGGCAGGGCCGGCCTTGGGCTAAGGCTGGTGAGGCCTGTGCCTAGGGCCCCAAAAATTAGGCCCAAAAAAAGGCCTCAAATTTATTACTCTTGCACTATATTAAAAACTTAAAATGGTCCAATTCTGTTTAATTAATTTAGGCCATTTTAAAGGGGCTTTCAAAAAATCCATTTGGCCCAATTGATAAAATGCCCAATTAAAAAATATTTATAAGTATTAATTGTTAGTCCAATTAAAAAAACAAAATATATGTATATGTATTAGTTGTTAGCCTAATTTTGTATGGCTTAATTTTTTTTTTCTTAATGGCCCAATTATGTGTTTTTTAGTATTTTTTGAAAAATACTTCGCACAATTTTTATTTATTTATTTTGTAGATACATCTAATTTAGAAACGCTTAAAAACTATAATATTTGTGTGTTTTTTTTTAAAAAAAGTTACCAAATACAAAAAAATATAAAAAAATACGAATTGCAAACTGAAACAATTATTTTTAAAAACTCTAAACCAAACATAGTGATTTTTTTTTTTTTAAATATCTAAAAAGGCCCTGAAAAATTATTTCGCCTTAGGCCCACAAAAACTCAGGGCCGGCCCTGTGCCTAGGCACACCTTATCGAAGTCGCCTGGCCTGGAACACTATAAAGCGCAAACCTTGGGCCTAGATGGGACTTGGGCCTAGGCGTGCCTTTAATAATACTGATTTTGATATTAAGCGTTTAAGGTTTATGCTAGCATGGGTATATGTAAGTATGCAATATGTTAATGCATACAAGATATGTTGCGAAATAAATTTATTTGAATATAAGTGCTAACTAATGCTTTAATAAAACTAGGCATATATATATATATATATATATATCTTATAATGATTCTTGATGTTGTTATCAAACTTTGTAGTAGTACTTCTTGATATACATGACCTCTATTGCTAGTATTGTAAGATTTGCAATTCAAATCATACAATTCGTGATTTGAATCTTACAATTCAATACAAAATACAACAATCAATACAAATTGAAAATGGCACATAATTGTACCTGAATCATTGAATTGCTTACGAATCAAAGAATCACACGATTCTGCTTGCTGCATATATCGCAGGCCAACTGCTACCTTGGCGGTTCTAACTCTTAAATTTTTTATTTTACAGTTTATTTTTTTATTATTTATTTATTTATTTATTGGTTAGAATGGGTCTTCATTAGGTCATCACTAACTTTCTGTGCTACTTTTTGTCCATCTTTTGTCTTCTCTCCCTTTATTTGATCTCAATATTGAAATCATAGTAGAAAATGACTTTTAGAAAATGGCTAATAATGAAAAAGAAAAGGTTATGATCTTACATGGAACCATTGTACCTGTGTGAGAGGGTAATAGGATGCACTTGAGGTGCAATTATTGTGGGAAAGACTTTTAGGGTGCAATAATTTGTATGAAGAATTATTTGGCGAGAAGCATGATAATGTTGGCTTTATGTACTCAAGTTTCAAAAGATGTTAAAAATATTTTTTACAAATTTTGGGTGAAACGAAAATGATATTTGTGGATATTGAATGTTTTGAAGAATTTTGGGGGATTAAAAGTAAGGACTGTGGATGTCCATGTCACGAAAAAAGGAAGGGAAAACAACAAACTCTAAATCAAATGATGAAACAAAAGCAATCCATGAATAGGGATATTTGGAGAGTAATTTATGGGCATGCATTGGCTTTCACTTTAGTTAAAAGCCCTTTTATTTATAAAGATGTTTAAATCGGTTGGTGTGTATTATGTGGTGGGATTAAAACCACCTAGTTACCATGAGGTGAGGGTATCCTACTTGAAGAAAGAGATGACCATGTAAATGAAAATTTAGAGGTGTATTGGAGAGAATGAAAGAAGATGAGTTGCATTTTGATGTCCGATGGATGGACCGATGGAAAATCTTGGCCCCTTGCTAGTTTTTTGGTTAATCGTCTAAGTGGAATGATGTTTGTTAAATCAATAGACATCTGGTGTAATTAAGTATTCGATGAAATTATTTGAGTTGCTTGATGATGTAGTGAAGGGGATATTGGGGGAAAATGTGGTTCAATTGGTGACTAAATAGTTCAACAAAAATTGGTGACTAATAGTGTATCAGCTACATAAGTGATTTGGCAGTTTTCAAAAATGCACTAACCAAAGCAAAAGAAATTACTGTGTACATTTATAGGTATGCTTGGGTGCTTCATTTATTTAGAAAATATACCAAGGAGGAGTTGACGTGGCTGATTGATACTTGATTTTCCACCACATATCTTACATAAAGCACAAGGGACAATTTTGGGAGATGTTAGATTTTGGAAAGCAATCAAATATTTGTTGAACTACGTGCTTCCTTTGGTGAAAGTTTTAAGGCTTGTATATGGTGGTGCAAAGGTAGTTGTATGCTTCATCTATGAAGCTATGTATATAGAGAGAAGAATTTGCTTCAAATTTGAACAATGTAAAAAGTACATATGACCACATTTAGAGGATTGATGATGAAAGATGGAATTTACAATTCCATAGGCCCCTTCATGCAGCGGCGTATTATCTTTCTCCATAGGTCTCTTCGAAGATGGAATTTACAATTCCATAGGCCCCTTCATGCGGCGGCCTGTTATCTTTCTCCATAGGTCTCTTCATGCGGTGGTATATTATCATTATCTCATTGTTTCAAATTTATTTGAACAATATAAAGAGGATATATGATTGCATTTGGAGCTTGGTTATTAAAATCTCAATTTAGAACTTATGATTCATTTAGGGAAAATCGATCTGTATCTTGTAAAAAATCCCTTCTAGGATCTTTCAATCCTGATAGCTAGATTTTGTAGGATTGTAAAATCCCGATCTGATTTGATCATACCCGATCCAAATTTTAAGCGTTGTTTTGTATCGTATGTTTATTTATTTTAAATTTTATGTTTTTTGTCCTTCCAAATATCAATTTTATGTAGTCCAAAAAATAATTCATATTTAATTAAAATGGATTAAGAAGAACAAATTCAAGTATTGCAATAATTTAGAAAAACTAATGAGTCTAAAAACTAAACTTATTCCATCTCTTCTCCAACTACGCTTTGTTGTACTCTTTCCCATCTTCCTCACTGCATAAGAAGATTATTCAGCTGTTTTTTTTACTCCCTGTTATCATTAATGAAGTAGTGTAAGATCCATTTATTTGTTTGATTCTCTTTGTTTAGGTTTCTTGGAGAATCCTTTTTCTTTTATTCTATTTATGTTTTCCCTATTTTTTATTGCAATTGTACACTAAAATATGATATTATTTGTCACTACTTTCTTTTTCTTTTTTCTTTTTTCTTTTTTCTTTTTCTTTTTCATGTATGCTTTTATTTTCTTTTAAGGTGTCCAAAGTTGTTCTTTATTTTATTTATTACCACTGTAGTAGAATGCTAAATATTTAAATTTATGACACATATACTGCTATCATTTTTTTTTACTGTTTTGAGTTTTCTATCTATTTTTGCGAAGTGTTATGTTATAGAATTCATCTTCTCTACCTTTTTTTGATGAAGTACAAAGTTTTTACTTTCGACTTTTCTATTGTATAATACTATATTTTCACTTATTTTTAGTGTAATTTAGGCTTATTTTGTATACACCTTTTAAGATTTGTTTATTCAAATTAAATTATCATGCAATTTTTCTTTTATGGCAGGTTCTTACAATCCTTGATCCGATCCTATACACCCATATGCCTCTTCATGAGGTGGCATATTATCGTAATCTCATTGCTTAATTGTTTTTTGAACAATGTAGATTGTATATATTATCGCATTTGGAGCATGGTTATGAGAATCTTGATCTAGATCTTATGATTCATTTGGGAAAACTTGATCGGGATCATGCAATCCGTTCTAGGAAGGATCTTGAGAAATGCTAGACACCCACAATGAACCCACAAATTTACCTACAATGATGTAGCAAGGGAGTTGGGCCCTATATGATTGATTGCGTGACAAATCAAAAGTTGAGACTTATCATGCCACATCATTGTGGATGAAATTGGGAAAGCCTTTTTTAGGGTTCTAAAAAAAATTTCGAGGATCTTTTGATCTTGATAGTTGGATCTTGTAAGATCTTTCTTTTAACTCTATTTATGTTTTTTTTTTTCATTTCTTATTTTTTTATTGCTATTATTGTACACTAAGATATGATGCTATTTGTCATTGTTTCCTTATTTCTTCTTCTTCTTTTTATTTTCACGTATACTTTTTGTATTATACTTCTATTTTCTTTTAAGATGTCCAAAGTTATCCTTTATTTTACGTATTACCACCGTAGTAGAATGCTATATATTTAATTTTATGACACGTGTATAACTATCATTTCTTTTCTTTTTTCTCTTTTGAGTTTTCAATCTATTTTTGCAAAATGTTATGTTATAGAACTCACCTTTACCTTCTTTTTTTTTTTTTGATGAAATACACTCTTACTATTGAATTTTCTATTGTATGATATTATGTTTACATTTTGCATGGAGCATTATATTTTTCATACAATTTTCACTTATTTACATTCAATCTATTTTTGTGTACACTTTTTGAGAAAGGTTTATTCAAATTATATTATTATGTAATTTTTCTTTTACAATAGGATCTTACGATCCAATAAACCCCTCTAAGGCCTCTTCATGCAGTGGCATATTATCATAATCTCATTGCTTCAAATTTATTTGAACAATTTAGAGAGTATATGTGATCTCATTTGGAGTTTGGTTATGAGAATCTCAATCCAGTTCTTACGATCTTACGATTCATTTGGGAAAAATTAATCTAGATCGTGTAAAAAATCCCCTGTAGGTAGGATCTTTTGATCATGGTAGTTGAATCTTATTTGATCTTGGTAGTTGAATCTTATAAGAACTTTCTTTTTACTCCATTTATGGTTTTTCTTATTTTTTTATTCCTATTGTACACTAAAATATTATACCATTTTTCGCTACTATCTTTTTTCTTTTTCGCGTATACTTTTTGCATTATACTTTTCACTTATAAATTTTCATTTATATGGTTAACTTATTTTTCTAGTAGGATACTCTCACCTCATGATAAGTAGGTGGCTTTAATTAGGGACAATCCATGGTTCTACCTTTTGGGAAGACAACTCATAGTTGAAAAAAATTATTGTAGAAGTTTAAAATACAATATTAATTCTATCAACATAAAAAAGTGAATAATATTACTATTTACAAAATATAGTAATTACGTCTCTATTATGATATAAAAAATATATCTGATAGGCTTGAAATCAAAATGTCAAGCAATGTGTTTCTCATTGAATGCAATCAAGAGAAAACCATTTTCCATCTTATTAAGTAGTTGAGTCTTGGTAAGTTTCATAGTTAAAATTTTATATTTCTATGCGTTGAAACATGTTAAAACTAGACAAATTAATCCATAATTCATTTCAATTAGTATCAAATTTCATGAACTCATTTCTAAGAATGTCATGTCAAATGCAAAGATGGCAAATGTCTTGAGCCTTTCGCAGTAGTCTTTAATGCCTTTAAAGTGATTTCCTTTGTGACCCCACATAGGAGAAAGTTTTGTTGTTTTCTAGGGTTTCAATATTGAGATCAAATAAAGAGAGAGAAGATGAAAGGTGGGTAAAAAGTAACACACAAGGTCTGTAGTGACTTGATTGAGACCCATTCCAGCAAAAGAAGGGTAAAAATTAAAAAAAAAATGATGAGTCGGGGCCAATCGGGTCCGTGACATATGTAGAAAATAGATTCATGCGATTCTCTGATATGATTCAGGTACGATTTGAATTGTGAATCGTACGATCTTAACAAAAGAGCTATATCATATTAACATATAGTGTTATCATCAATTAGTTTTGGTACTTTTAGCTCGTTGCATCATCATTTTTGTTCTTTGTTGTTTCTACCTTTGTTGTCAAAGAGTCCTTTTGAATATTTTTCTTCTTCTTTAAGTATTTTCTTTCTTGGGAAAAAGTCAAGTGATTCTTCCTTGTGTGTGCATGACTTCCAGATCAAAATTTATTGGGCATAAGTGTAGCGATGCTATTTTGTCTTTGCATACTTGTGCTTTTCTGTTTGTCTGTGCCTTTCAATTTTGTTATTTGAATGGTAAAAAAGGATTCATGTAGCTGACCACAATTGTATGGGAACAAGGCTTAGTTTGGTTTGGTTTGTTGTGTTTATTCTATTTTCTATCCTCTTGTTCTACCTTCTGATTTGATGAAGTAAGTTTTGGCCATAAAAGCATACAATTGTTTGGTGTAGGTTTGGTCCATACTTTTGCCAGCCTGTGATTGCTGGATTGGGAGATGACGACAAGCCCTTCATTTGCACAATGGATTCAATTGGAGCCAAGTATGTAAACCATCTTCTCTTGTTTTCTCCATTGTTTCAAAACCATCAACATACTAAGAATTATTTGATTCTACTTCTTCTTCTTCAAAACTATCAACATACTATAAGAAGTATGTAAACAATTGGAGCCAAGTATGTAAACCGTCTTCTCTTGTAGTCGTTAGTGTTTGTTAGATAATCAGCTGAGATAAACAGTTAGGGTGTTAGTTGGCTGAATCTTGCAAAAGGAGTAAAATTGAAGTAAGGTGAGTGAATGATAGATAGAACAGGAGAGACGGAAGAGGGGTCAATTTTCTATTCTGAAACTTGTATCCATTTTTCTTTCAATATTAATCTCCATGACAGATGCTCATGGAACTTTGTTTTTCTACATCAGTAGTAATTTTATTCTTCTTCCACCAAGAATGCATCAATGACACTATTGATGTATTTTCGTAACTCAGTGTAGTGGTTTAGATTTTGTTGGTGTGATGTTGGGAATTTGAAGCTACTTTCTTTTCTCTTTCTTGTTATTTTATTTTCTCTTTCTTGATTGTACTTGGGTTGTGCCTACATGGCATATTATCTAATACAATCTTCTTTGTTGCTTATATGAAAAAAAAAGGCAGTTAGTGGAGCTTTGCTAAGAACCAAAGTGAAGCTTGCTCACTTATTGTTCTTGGTTGGTATAAACTTGGCATGATAGTGACGCAGTTTTGCTTGTTGGTTTTTTGTCTTCCTGAATGCAGGGAGCTTGCAAAAGATTTTGTTGTTGCTGGTACAGCTTCCGAGTCTCTCTACGGTGCCTGTGAGGCAATGTTCAAGCCTGACATGGTTTGTCACAATTTAATCTTGAACTACTTTTACAAATAACATTTCAATTGATTTGCAAATGGAATGCATGTGCATGTATTAATATACGGAATCGTAATATATACTATAGCAGCAAGAAAGCATACATTCAAAATTATGTAACGCTCAATTTCAAATAGGCAAAACTTTTTTCAAGCCTTGTCTTGAAACCTTCCTATTTGAGCTTGAGTTAATAAATCAGAAAATGCATATATTTGAAGGTATTTGAAGGATAAGATATTACATCATGTGGAGTTGCTGGTGACCTACACACTCTACTGATCAAGAATTTGCACTATGCACATGCAAAGTTGTAAGTATGTATGTATGCAGATTTCTTCATATCTGCGCAGGAGAGATTCATTGAGCATATTCAGTGAGTAGTCTTGTTTCGTTGACTTAGAAGAGAGTTGAAATTATGTTTCTGAATTCATTTGCTGACGATGCTTATAAGCATCTGTTCATTGAGCAAGGATAGTAAAGTGCCGTTTGGTAATGTTTACAATTTACTGTTTTTTGTTTACAGAAAACATTTTACTTGTGTTTATTTTTTGTAAAAACGAAAATAAGTAACATGTTTGGTATACGTGTTTTAAAACCTTGTTTTGAACAAGTGAAACGGGTGGTTGGCTGTAGGTGGTGGCCGAAGATGGTTCTCAATGGTCGGAAATGGTGGCTGGATGTTGCTGGCCGTAGTGGCCAGAGGTAGTTTCCTGCTGCAGGAGGTGGTGGTCGAAGGTGGTTTCCAGTCACGGGAGTTGGTGGTCGGGGGAGGTCACTGTGGTGAGGTTGGCTGGTGGAGGTGATGGGTGGTAGGCGGTGGGTGAAGGAGGTGAGAGGAGGAGGAATGAACAAATCTTTTTTTTTTCCTGAACAAATGAAACCAACATTTTTATGGTTACAAAAATTTAGTAAATTTTGTAAATTGTTCATAAGTTTTTGACTAGAGGTGGGGTGACCATTGGTTCAATAGTTAAGACTTGACCTAATAACCTTGAGGTTATGGGTTCAAGTCTTGGGGCCACCACTTTGTGCATTATGCCAAAAGTTAGGTATGTACTCAATTTTTCCCCTCCCAAACACATTAATATGTAGTAATTGGGCATTGCTCATAAGTTTTTGAAAACAAAAATAGAGACCAAATGAGTTTTTATTTACAGTTCCATATTTTTTTGTAAATATAATTAGAAAATTGTAAATATAAATATTACCAAACAAGCGCGCTAACCCCTGATTTAAAGTTCAAAATTTTATATTACTGCTCAGCTTGAAGCTTTTGTTGGTAACTGCTGTTATTAACCCTTTGTCTCTATCACGCAGGAAGCTGAAGAATTGTTTGAGACTATTTCTCAAGCACTTCTGTCATCAGTAGATCGTGACTGCTTGAGTGGTTGGGGAGGACATGTCTATGTTGTGTAAGCCTCATTGAACTGCTTTTGTTTCTGATTATAATTTCTCTCTTCGAAGAATTTTATATATTTTCTTAATTGGTTGTGGTACTTAGAGATGCAGATATATAAGACCATGGAGAGTAAATTAAGCATATTAGAGTTTGTGCGCACGCGTACATGCACATGCTTCTGTTCATTCGTCTTTCATTGTTATTAACCTTATATATTGCTGAGTTACTCTATTAGGAATCATATTTTGTTGGTGGGTTCAAAATAGAGAATTGGTCCCTTTTTTTTTTTTCTCCTCTCAAAATAGAGAATTGTTTTCACAAGAAAGATTCATCTGTCTCCTTGATAGATCATTTTGGTGCATTGAGTTTCTCATTTTCTAAAGTGCAAGTGATAATGGATATAATCTTGTTTGTTTTCTTTGGTGCAGCACACCAACAGAAGTAACAGAGAGAATTCTGAAGGGAAGGATGGATTGATCTGTTTCAGTAGAAGAGTCGAAGTCGTTCTTTTTACTATCCCATTCGGAACTTGCATTTCTTCATTGCATGTCAACTTGCTGATGAAGGGGCAACCCTTCCACATTCTGAAGGGATGCCTTAAAATGTTCTCTACCTTTTGAAATTGATGTACTTTGATATGTAAAATTGGATTCACCTAGTTTCAAATTAGCTTCTTGTTATGCTGAATTCATGAAAAAATTAGACTCGTTTCTGAGTTCTACATTTATACACCAGCTTGATCTCTCTTTATCAGCTGCTTTACGGTCTTATCCCGATCTTCTTTTTGTGTGTATTTTTTGTTTTTTTTGGTTTGTTCTGTGATAGCATATTCAGTTATGCTTGGTGGAGTTTTTATCATTTGCATGACATGCCTTGTGTATGTTTGCTTATATGGTTGGTTGTTTTGTAGTTATGTACAATCCCTTGGATAAGAACTTGGGACAAGGGCTTGGCTTGTCTTGTCTCAGGCTTGAATGACCATTTGGGAACTACAATATAGATGAAGACTGCATTTGAGCAGCTTCCACCAGATACAAAATTTTGTATATGATTGTACTCGTTGTGGCTGTTCAATTGTTGGCACAAGGTGTCCTTGCTTGATAATCCACACAGATGAATGCTTGCATATTTATACCATCTATGTTATTATTATTATTATTATATAACAACTCTTTGAAGTTTTGTCACGATTTTTTCAATATTTCAAATATTCCTTTTAAATCCAATTGTGTCTAATTTAGTAACTATCATGATTGATTTAATTGTTTCACATACCCGTAGTGTGTCTACTTGTTTTTGTTCAACCATTTGTGTCCTTTTCCTTTTTTATTTTTATTTTTTATTTATTTATTTATTTTTATCTTACATAAGATAGAGGTTATTATGTTAGTAGTTAAATTACAATGTTGACCAATGTCTTTCTATAGACTCAAATTTAAAATTTTATTCACCAATACAATTAAGTGCTCTTTTTATAATCACCTGAGTGGTTATCCAAGGTCTCAACTTTGCTTCAAAACATTACATTTTTATTTTTTTATTTGACCACTTGGATTGAACTTTTTATTAATTTTTATTTTTCTTTAAATTATGTTTATATGTCGGATTGTAAAGGGAATTAAAAGTGAAATGGTAATAAATTTTGTCAAATACATATATATATATATATATGATTCATCTACGGAATTTGTTTAGTCCGAATTTGTCTAAATGAGTCTTTTTCCGGAAAGAGATTCCCACACAAAAGACTTCTTAGGAGAAGACTTATTCGGTTAAATTCGGACTAAATAAATTCTGTGAATGTAACAGTGTTATGAATGTTATGATTTTCTTAACTAAACTGTCGGATTGTAAAGGGAATTAAAAGTGAAATGGTAATAAATTTTGTCAAATATATATATATATATATATATGATTCATCTACGGAATTTGTTTAGTCCGAATTTGTCTAAATGAGTCTTTTTCCGGAAAGAGATTCCCACACAAAAGACTTCTTAGGAGGAGACTTATTCGGTCAAATTCGGACTAAATAAATTCTGTGAATGTAACAGTGTTATGAATGTTCTGATTTTCTTAACTAAACCAAAAAAATCAAAAAAAATAAACTTCAATCTTTTTATTATTGTTATTATTATTATTTTGATTTTATCTTTCTCCACTAATCCAAGATAGCAAATATAAAAATTCAGGTGCACTGATGATGGGACTAAAGAGTGACGAGGCTGGCCAATGTGTGGCTAACCAACGCAATTTCAAGGGCAGTTAAGTTATACATACATGCATTATATGTGTCAGTTAATGCATTTTGAAATTCCTGGATTGGAATGACAGACTCTCTCTCTCTCTCTCTCTCTCTCTCTCTCTCTCATCGCCTAATTCTGGTTTGTATTTGTATCCAGAGATGCTCTCTTCACTCACTCTTAACGCCCGCAATCGCAGATTTCTTCTTGGCTGTCCTTCTAATTCTTCAATAAAGCGGTACATTCTCTCTCTCTCTCTCTCTCTCTCTTTATGTGTTTGTGGTTCAATGCTCTTGTAGTTTTGCATCTAATATTCATTTGAGAATTGAGAGGGTATTTTAACAAACATTTGAAGACGGATTCTTATGAGTTATTAACCATCCATAAAATTAAATTGGATTTTGCATTGAACTTTTAATATCTTTGTTAAATGGTGATCAATTGTAAGCATTTCACGCACGTAGTACAACCCAAAAGTCCTGCAGATCATATGTAGTCCTGCATATCATTTGTTTATTTCTTTGTCATGTGGGAACCAACAACCGTTAACAACATGCATTCCAGTGGTTCATCTTTAAGGTTGCATTTGGATTGGATTGTGATTTGGGTAATGATTTAGAAAGGGAGAGCAGTGGAAAAAGTCAAGGAAAATGTGACAAAAATACAAGTCAAAGCCTGACTTCATTTATCTCGTCTTTTCCTTTTTCTTTTCCTTTCCAAGTTACCACTGAAATCCATAATCCTGACAGTCTAAGTGAAACATTAATTAAATGAAAAAAAGACGCCAAACCCAAATGAACACCTGGTTTGGCAGCCACCTTTTCTTTTAGTGGACTTTTCAATGACTAGGAGGGCTAAAAAAAAATTAAATTATGAATCAAATTTGAAGAATGTCTTGATGAAAAAAAGTTGGATCAAAAGTTGTTACCAAATGAGCAAAAAATCACAACAAAAACATTATGTTATTGTACCAGCCTTCAACATAGTAAATTGGATTGTGTTATATTTAGGTCATTGTTCATCCATTTCCCATGTTATTGTTACACATTTCCTACAGGGATTTAGAGAATAAAATTAATAAATATTTTCCTACTCCATTTATGCCATTTCTTCTTCTTGAATCTTGTGCATTGGAGAGAATCCTAATTTTATTTTTATTTTGTATTTTATTACTTTTTAGGAGTGAAAATTAAAAGCAGAGCATAGTCTCTGATCCTTGTGGAGTACTCCTTAGCAGTTCTTTGGCACCATTGACATTACTCAGCGAACTTAAATGGGGAATGTGATCGGCTCGTTTCTTTCAGGAGTTGGTAACGTTATCAATAATCTGCTTGGCTCTCCACTCAATTTTCTTTCTGGAAAATCCTGCAGGTAAACTTTAACATTGTTTTTCCTACATGTTCTTGCCGTTTTTTAACAACGTAAAATTGTTTACCAAACAAACCCAAAATATGCTTATGTTTTACAATTATCATAATTATGCGATTCATGAAATAATCACGATCTTACTAAGTTCGTAGTTTTATATGCATCGCATTTAATAACATGCTAAATGGTGTTTTAATTTACATATTGTATTTGCATACTGAGACATTTCTTCCATTGTCATTTGTTGTTCAGCTCAGCATGTGGCTCAACATGGGATTTCATCTGTTACATAGAGAATTTCTGCGTTGCTCATCTGTTGAAGTTGGCTATGGTTTCAGTTCTTTTCTACTTTGGTGAGTATACATTGTTGTAAGAAATCCTATAATCATTTATCAAAATTACTTGTATTGAAACAACAGATTTACTAACAAATTTGAAAAACCTGACATCCCAATCTACTCTACATGCCAAGTACATATGTCCATTACAATTTATTTTCTCCCTTATAGAAAGAAAAATGCATGGCCGGGGTTGCTTTGTCTTGAAATTTTCCTGTCCTATTCTAATGCACTCACAGCCACACGATATGGTGGGAATCTCAAGACACAATTGTGTGGCTACGAGTGCACTAGGATAAGAGAGACAAAAATTTTGGGATAGAGGATCTCATGCCAAGGTATAGTGCCTAGCATCAAGGCCAGCCCTAAGGAGAAACTAGCAAAGAAGCCGCCTTGGGTCCCCAATTTGAACACAATTTAAGGGGTCCCAAATAATTTTAGCCTTTATAGTAATAGAAAGACCAAAAGAAGTGCAAGTTTTAATGTCCATTCCTTGCATCTTACATTCCATGATTTCCTTTAATCATGATGTGCAGTTCTCTTATTCTTGTATTCATTATACAAATTGGGCGTTTGCCGATGTTTTGCCCGGACACTATGCAAAACGGTATGGGCATGCTTTGCTACATGCTTCTTCACGGTTGAGCATGGTTGCACTTTCCTTTGTTATAAGCTTCCAAAGCTTAAGCGGAAATACAGAAAGCGTAAAAGAGATATCAAACGGTTCAATTCAAGCAGTACCGATGAAGAAGATAGAACATTTCCCTATCATGTACCTAGACACATGGAGGACAAAAGATCATTGTCTCGTCATTGGAAGGACTACAGAGGAGATCACTTGAGAAGATCTTTGAGGCCTAGGAGTCACCGTGTTCGAGTGGGGATTAGAGGGGATTCAGTTCATGTGAACAAGAGAAATTCCATGAAGTATGGTCATCATGGTAGAACAGTTCATGACATTAGAGTGACTAGAACATCTCAATTTGCACAAAAAGGTGCTAATTACAAGGGCTCAACTCGTCGGATGAGAAGGAAAGTGAAAGTTCCATGACATGTGAATCAAATGCCACCAAGAGAAGTGCAAGTTTTAACTGGTATGTAATCTTCACCCTCCTTGGAATTGTTTTACAAAACTGTTTTGAAACTGATTTTGCAAGTTGTTTTTTCTGCTTCTGAAGCTATTTCATGTTATAAAGTAAATAGCTTTACACACACATTATGACTTTGTAGGAGCCCACTTTTAGGTATCAATTTGATATGGTTTGCAGTTCTGTTAAGACAGCTAATGCAGGCTTAGCTGTCATAAATCATTGAAGAAAACAAGAATAATGATAGCTTGATATATGTTGCTGGACCGATGTCCTATAAGAAAAATAATATAAAAGTTTATTTTTTTAGCTTATTTTTTAAATCCAGTGATATGTAAGTAAGATACTTGGTTGATAATTAGAGAAAATATGAAAGAAAGAATTGTTAAATATTCTAATCGACTGTCATATCATTAGATTTAAAAGTGAGTCTAATTTTTTCCGGCTCAATTTCAGGCCTAAAAGTTTCTCCTAAGTTCGGCTCTAAAATGGTATTATATTTACAAACCCACATAAAATAAATATTATAAATTAATAATTTTGTAATTTAGTTGGTAACAAAGCTTAATATTTAGCCATTACATCTTAGTTAGGTACAATTTCCCCTTTTAAGTGCAACTGTTTATTTAAAATAAATAAAACTAAGTAAATTATATATGTATATATATCGGCAACTTACGTGTAAGTCCTAATAAGTAGATTTATTGTTTAATAGGTCCTGTGAGAATTAATAGTGTTTTTCATTAATCACTATTAAAAAACGTCACTAATTGTTAATTTTCGGTAACAGTTTGAAAATTGTCATAAAAAATGTCATTAATTATAAGTTTTAGTGATAGTTTAAAAAAATTGTCATAAAAAAAGTCACTAATTTTTAACTTTCAGTGACAATTCGAAAAATTCATCATAGAAAAAGCGTTACTAATTGTAAGTTTTAACAATAATTTATAAAAATCGTAACAAAAAGTCATTAATTGTCAATTTTTAGTGACATAAAATATTGTCACAAAAAAATTATTTTTAGCGATAATTTTACTATAACTTATTTTTAACAAAACTTAATGAGAATTAAATTCAACTATTAAGATCTATTAATAGTTTACCATATATATATATTCATGTATAATTTATATAATATATTATAATCAATTGGACTGGGTCGGGGCTTGGTTGCTAGTAACATTCCTAGGCCTAACCCATTTAATAAATAGGCCTAAAAAGTCCATCATGGCTCAATCCCATGGATTTAAATATGGATCTCAAATTTTGAAAGGGAAATGGGCTGGGCGCGATATACTGGACTGTAGGATTATTTACTCGAAAAGTATTTAAACTATTTAGAAATATTATTTTCACTCCTTAAATTATAGAAACGTAGAAATAAATTATTTAAATTATTAAAAAATATCATTTTTTTCTCCTAAATTATGAAAACATACAAATGAATCCCATAAACTATATAAATGTACAAATTGAACTCCCTAATAGAAGGGATCAAAATGAAGCACGCTAATAGTTTAGAAAGTCTACTTGTACGACTTCATAGTTTAGGAGATAAAATAACACTTTTTAATAATTTCCAAGGTTAATTTATACTCTCTTTTTTCATTTATAATTTAGACTATGAAAGTAATATTTCTCTATAATTTAAGAAGTTTCATATAAATAATCCTATATTGTAGGAAGATATATATTGTTTAGACGTGGCCCATTTGCTAGCCATTTTAAAGTGAGTTCTAAAAGAATTTCTAAATTTTAAGTAGTGGTGTTATTAGCACCGTATTAGTTATTTTAGACCTTCTATTTTTTTGGACCCCTACTTATAAATTTTGAAATTCTTAAAATTTCTTTTTTTTCCTCAAATAATACCAAAATTATTCTTGTGAAAACATTTCACTCATTAAATGCACACTTCCCACACCTCTCACACCCCCAAAAAAACCCTCTTCCAAAAAAACAAAACCATGAAGAAGAAAAAGAGTTGTTGTCATTATTGTCTCTTCTGCCTCATCCACTATTGTTACAATTGGTATGCTCTCTCTCTCTCTCTCTATATATATATATATATATATATACATAATTTCTTAGTTTTCTTGTAATAATTTCTTCACTTGTAGAAAAAAAATTATAATAATTGTTTTGGTTGATTTTATTGGTTGATATTATAAAATTACGAGTTCAATAGAGAATTACGTAGCAATATTATCAAAGCTACAAGATGAAGGAATAACTTTTGAACCTGATAATGGATTTGGGCTACTTCCGATAACTTCTACAAGTGTTAAAATTTTTGACCATTCAATGTGTTAAGAAATTTCTATGTTCGAACCTGCATTCATGAAAATTACTTATTTGTTCAGGAATGGCTTCCCGAACAAATAAGTAATGTTTGGGCCTGTATTCAACCAAAGGGTTGCCACTGTCATCGCCGGAATATTGCCATTGTCGGAGAAGTATATGTAGTCAAATGGTTGCCATTGTTACCGCCGAAATATTACTGCCAAAGGATTTTCAAGCTTTTGAGGGTGGGTAGGTTTTGAAGGTGGAATTTGGAGAAAATTGGTGGGTGGTGATGGAGGTGAGTTCTTGCATAAACCCTAATTCATGATGTAGTAAGTGTGTAGGTTTAATTGTGAGATGAAACGTCCTAAAATTAATGATATCATTTTTAGTAATTTTATTTAAAATTATTATTGTAATAAAAAAATTAAAAATTAAAAAATCTAAAATAATTTATGAATACTAATAGCAGCACTCATTTTAAATATTGAATTGAGTTGGGTGTGTCATCAAGCATAAGGACCCTATTGGGAGCTGAAATTGGAACATTGAAAATTCGTAGCAGCCTCTCAGATGCATTCCCCTGTATCTCTTTTATCCTTAGAATGGGTTCCAAAACTTTGTCCGCATGATCAAGAAAACATATTTTAGCCTTTGAAACATCGCTTTTAGTCCCTATAATATAATATTAAAAAAGATTTTGTTCTTGTTAACCAACTTTTTTTTAAAATAAAAAATTATATGAAGAATGAGAATCCCTTTGCTACACATCTTTGGAAGAGCATGTATTATATGCATCTTATTACATTTTTTTTATTTTATTTTTATATATGTTATATATGTTTATAATAATTTTTTTACTATAAAATTATAATAATTTGTGATTCAGAAATAAAATTACGCAATTTTATTATAAAATTGTACATTTTGTGGTTCAAAAATTATCACAAAAAAAGAGTAACAAGGTTTATATTTCATAAAGAAAATATAATTATTTGAAATTTTATTAATTAATATCCATAAAACAAACATCATCATTAAATTCACCCAAGTAGATATGCATATCTTGTCATAGTGCATACACATTACATAGATTTTTTTGTCCCCTTTACGCTATGTTTGGTTTAAGGATTTGAGAAGAGATTTGGAAAGGAAAAGGGAAAATTAAGTGAAATATGAATAAAATATACTTATATTTCACCTAATTTCACGCACATTTTCTCTTTTCCTTTTCAAATCCCTCTCTTAATCTTCAACCAAACACAGCATTAGAGACATGGAGAAAACATGCTACGCATTACTACCCTTTTACAAATTATGCAATGAGCTAAAAAAGACTTTTTCTTCTTTCATTTTTTTTTAAATAAATTTTTTTGTTGGATTTAGTCTCTCTTCCCTAGATTTGGACTGTGTTTAGTCTAATCTCAAAGTGATTGACTCTGTTAAAAAATATTAGTTGGTTTCCTTCACAAGATGAAAGTTAGCTTACCTAAAAAAAACAAGGGCAAATTACATATACACCCCTCGAGGTTTGGTTAAATTACAGATACCCCCCTGAGGTTTCGGAAATTACATCCACTTTTTTTATTTTTTTGAAAATTTAAAAAAAAAAAAAAAAAAATCCTGAAAAGCGCGGCTGGTACAGACTTCTCTGCAGAGTTTTAGAAACGTGTTTCCAGAACACGTTTTAAACACCATATTCAAAACTCAGTGTAGAATCACATTTTGAAAACATAACCAAACAGAGCCACATTTGTGATTCAAAATAGATTTAATTGCAAAAAATTCCAAACACACAAAAATTAACAGTCTAAATCATCTAATACGTACGAAAGTGATTTAGATTGTCGTTTCATAATTAATAAAGAGTGGTGCTATTAACACCCCATGAATTATTTTAGACCCCCCATTTCTTTGGACGTCCACTTATAAATTTTGAAACCCTCAAAATTTCTTTTTTCCCTCCATATAATACCAAAATTATTCTTGTGAAAACATTCTATCCATTGAATGCACACTCCCCACACTCCAAAAAAACCCGTCTTCCAAAAAACCTTAACAAAACCCACAAAGAAGAAGAAGAGTCAATGTGATTACTGTCTCTGCTGCCTCATCATCCATTGTCACAGTTGGTATTCTCGCTCTCTCTCTATATATATACATAATTTCTTAGCTTTCTCGTAACGATTTCTTCTCTTGTAGAAAAAAAAATTATAATAATTGTTTTGGTTGATTTTATTGGTAGATATTATAAAATTACGAGTTCAATAGAGAATTACGTAGCAATATTATTAAAGCTACATGATGAAGGAATAACTTTTGAACCTGATAATGGATTTGGGCTACTTTCGATAACTTCTACAAGTGTTAAAATTTTTGACCATTCAATGTGTTAAGAAATTTCTATGTTCGAACCTGCATTCATGAAAATTACTTATTTGTTTTGGAATGGCTTCCCGAACAAATAAGTAATGTTCGGACCTGTATTCCCGAATTTGAAAAAATAAAAATTTCTGCCAGTGTTAACAATTTTGACCGTTTAATGTGTTAAGAAATTTCCATGTTCAAACCTACATTCTCAAACTTAAAAAAAAGAAAACTTCTACAAGCGTTAACAATTTTGACTGTTTAATGTGTTAATAAATTTCCATGTTTAGACCAGCATTCTCGAACATTACTTATATGTTCAGGAAGTAATGTTTGGGAACGTCATCCCGAACAAATAAGTAATGTTTGGGTCTGTATTCAACCAAAGGGTTGCCACTGTTATCGCCGGAATATTGTCATTGTCGGAGAATTGTATGTAGTCAAATGGTTGCCACTGTTACTGCCGAAATATTACTGCCAAAGGATTTTCAAACTTTTGAGGGTGGGTTGGTTTTGAAGGAGGAATTTGGAGAAAATTGATGGGCGGTGATAGGTGAGTTCTTGCCTAAATCGTAATTCATGATGTAGTAAGTATGTAGGTTTAATTGTGAGATGGAATGTTTCAAAATTAATGATATCATTTTTAGTAATTTC